AACGCAGTAATTATGCTGGATTTCATACTCAAAGGTCGCAATAGAGAGAAGAAGAAGAAGAAGTTGTGGGAAGAATGGGTTCGGGTTCGTTTGACGACTTTTATGGACATGGGTTATCTGCCTCTGTGTATTTTTCATTGCATTTCCTGTGTTTGAACGGTTTGATTTTCTGATCTGCGTTGGCGAATCGACAGCTTTGTAAAGTCCTCCGAACTACTGTTGTGATTTTTGTTGTGATACAAAATGTCAGACAGTCCCTAGAATTACTGTTGTCTGCCAAATTGAAGTCACAAAATTACACACATCTAAGAGCGCACCATAAGGGACTTCTAGGACCAGTATAAGAGCACCATCAGAGGGCTCTAGGACCAGTATAACGGCATCATCAGAGATCTCTAGGATCAGCACCTTCAGAGACCTCTACGACCAACACCTTCAGAGACCTCTACGACCAACACCATCAGAGACCTCTAGGACCAGCACCATCAGAAACCTCTAGGGTCATCACCATCATGGACCTCTAGGACCAGCTCCATCAGAGATCTCTAGGACCAGCACCATCAGAGATCTCTAGGACCAGCACCATCAGAGACCTCTAGGACCAGCACCATCAGAGACCTCTAGTACCAGCAGCATCAGAGACCTCTAGGACCAGCACCATCAGAGATCTCTAGGACCAGCACCATCAGAGACCTCTAGGACCATAAAGAAACAGAGTTGATAGCAAGACATCAAAAGGAGAGCACCTCACAATCATTCCATACTTGCTCTTCCCAAAAAACTTAAAGTGCAGCATGTTATTGCACTTCCCTTGGACCTAAAGTGCAGTATATTATTGCACTTGCCCAAAATCTAAAGTGCAGTCTTTATAGCACTTGCCCTAAGCCCTAAGTGCAGTATGTTATTGCACTTGCACTTGCCCTGAACCTAAAAATTACAAGTTGTTCCAAAGAGTACCTCCTTGCACTGACACACATTGATCCAAACTAGTTCTAAATGTCGTCTCATACGTTTCTTTGCGTCTTCTAGAATCACACACGGCAAAAAATGATAAAATATGAGGTAATAAGTGTTTTTTGCAAATGGGACAAAGCCTAGTCTTATTTCAAGAACTGTTGCTCTATTTTAAGGCAGTCATAATGTGCTCAAATGAAGATGCATTTAGCCAAATTTGAGCCATTTTTTACTTGTTTTTCATCACTTTTTGCAGTGAGTGTACTCGACTCCCACAAGGCACTCGAGTGCATTCGGTGGTAGAGATCCTCCAGATTCCCTGAACATTTTCTCATCGATTCGTCAGAAAGAAAGATCTCAGGATTTAACTGATTGTCCTTCGATGCAGTTCAACATAAATACTTAAACCACCCGTTAAATCCACTTTCTAACTGTGTGTGTGTGTTCCGCCTGCTCTACACACACACACACACACACACACCGGTCAATAGCGCGTCCCACTAACCTCCCGGAGCCTTATCAGTCCCATCGCTTCCTGCTTTAGTGGGAGCCCCCGTGTGAGCCGCACTGGTTCAGAACAAAGCCATAGCATTCTCTCTTTTTTCCCCCTTTTATTTTAGTGGTTTTCTGGAAGCGGGAGTGAGGAGAGGTGGCCTGGCCTTCATCAGCCGTCGGAAGTGATTCAGAGCAGTGGCGTGTGTGCAGCAGGTCACTCTTTCATGTGCGCTGGTTGCATAATGCTATCAGGGAGCCTCAGTGTTTACATGACAGAGTAAAGGCCAGAGGAGAGCGCACAACGTTGTGTAACTGTTCGATGTTGCTCATGTGGTTCTCTTTCACACACTGCACTGAAGCAGAGTTTGTGTTGGGTTTGTTTTCACACCTACGTCATGAACATTTAAATAAGTGGCTATACCTGCAGGTGAAAGCCAGATCTCATCAGTCCTCTGAAGCTAAGCAGGACAGGGCCTGGTTAGTTATTTTTTTATTAGATACCCCAAAGATAAAGTTGTTGCATTGAGAATGCAAAAATTGCATTCTAAAAAAAATATATATATATTTATATTTGGCAAAAGTTATGAACTGTTAGATAAAATGGATCATACAAAAAACAGAAATTGATTTAAAATATTTCAACACTTTTCTAGTCCTGCATTTTTAAGTTGGATGCAAACCAAATGTCAGCTGTCCAGTGGTTTTTGCACAATCCATTCGACACACACATGCACACGCGCACACACACACAAATGATTGTTTTGTTGGCCTATACTTTATAATAATGTTTTTTTTTCTAGAAGACACAATTTCAGTTGTGCAAAGTCGCATTTATTGTAACAGGGCTGCTTTTCCATCGTTTTTCTTCGGCAGCCGTCTGAGCAGAGACTCCTGCGTTTCCATTTTAAAACATAATCCTGTCATTTTGATTTCATTATTACTGATCTAAGTCACTCTCGCTTCTCAGCAGGAAGGTCCTGGGTTCGAATCCCGGTCGGAACAGTGCCTTTCTGCGTGGAGTTTGCATGTTCTCCCTGGGTCTGCTCCGGTTTCCTACAGGTGCTCCGGTTTCCCCTACCACAAGGGCATGCGCCTCCTATAGAAACCTCGCTGCCCATCTCAGTGTGGAGTGAGAGACAAACAGTTGTAAAGCACTTTGTCTGTTACGGGCGTTATATAAATAAACATTACTTACTTACTTAATTGCAGGTTTCCAGCAGCAGAAACACATCCATCAAAACAAACAAATACATAATAATAAGTTACTGACAATAGTAATAAAGTGCAGCAGCAGAGGTGATGAGCTGCTTTCGCTAGTAGTTGTCTGCAGAGTCTGTTTGGTTGGGACCGTCCGCTCTGCTCTGCTCTGGATCAGTGTAAAACCATGAAAACTTCACTGCAGAAACATTTACAGGTAGAAAAAATAACCACTGTAAAACTCACAACAATAACTGTTCCAGAGAGACTCAGGACTCGCTTCTGTTTCAAGTGCATTCAAAAGTAAACCAGACATTATTATGTATTCATATTGTCTTCATATCCCCAATTTGAACATATCCAAGTAGAGAAAAGCATTCTGGGACCTATCACGTCTTTATGCAACAATGAGACTTATGCAACAATCGTCACATTGCGTAATCGCTGCTTTTCTCAGTAAGACGTGTGGGGACTGAGACGGGCTGTGTTCGTCGGTTGGAGATGCTTCAAATGCCTGAAGAGTGCAGAGGAAGTGCAAACGTTGAGCCCTGACAAGGTGCAGTTTACGAGGAGATATGTCTTAAGATCCGTTCGAGATTTTGTTTTTATTAGAGGAACAGGTCCGTCTTAATCAAGTGGTGAAGGAAGCGAGTGGGACTATAAAGACACCGCCTGCTCATGGTGTGCTAGGCCTGATCTGGTTATAGTGATGGTGGTGTCATAGTAGTAGCACAAGGACTTTTCATACTGCAGACCGGTGTTCAAATACATGCAATGGGAAAGGTTGCCGTGTCGTTTGGACCCGTTTTGGCTTTTCACCACATGTTCGAGAGTGTATTCATTTATTTATTTTTGAGCAAGTAAGTGGGCATAGAAATAATTAGTAGAAATTAATCACAAGGAACTTAGGTACATTTACAAAATATATCAAGAAAAGTAAAAATACTAACAAAACGCGGTATTAAATCGGTAAATATAAACTTTGGCTTTCGACACCCAGGGCACCAGAAACTCTAAGGTCTAAGGACAATGGTGATGATCAAGGACACTCGACATTCAACCACATTTATGGACTTTATTAACATTTGTTGACATTGGTCTCTGCCCCTTATGGAACAATGTTTCTATATGTTTTTTCATCATTCTATTTCTATTCTATCTGTGTTGGCGAATAGACAGCTTTGTAAAGTCCTCCGAGAGAACTGCTGTTGTGATTTATTTAATATATTTAAATGTCAGTAAAACAAAATCTGTCTGTTTTTCATCTAGAACACGTCCCACTGAGAACCTACCCCTAACAATTGACAGGCAACACATTGAGCAAGTGAGAGAATTCAAATATTTAGGCCTAATTCTGGACTCTCACTTGCAATTTGACAGTCACATTAACAAGATTGTAAAAAGGACTAAATCAAGTTTGTATAGTTTCAGATTAATCAGAGATTGTTTACCTTTCAACGCAGCCAATATCTTTCTACATGCTATGATTTTTTCTCAGATAAGTTACTGTATCACCTGCTGGTCCCAGGCCACAGCCTCTTCCATCAAACCAGTAAGAATGCTCTACAACAGAGCCATAAAAATACTGGACAAAAAGCCAATAAGAACACACCATTGCCAGGTGTTGCAGAGACTACATTTTCTTAGTTTGATAATTTTATTAAATTCTGTAATTGTAAATTATTGTACAAATGTTTGCACAGTTGAGCCCGTGCTGTCCTGAGTGCTCTCATAGTTCCTCTGAGATCCGTCACACGGGGCTCCTCTAACGGAAATGTGAAAGTGCCCCTCAGGAGAACCACATTCGGACAGTCGGTCTTCTCGGTCCAGGGGGCAAAGCTCTGGAACTCTTTAAGCCTTCAGCTAAAACTGAACTCTGACTGGGCTGGTTTTAAACATGAACTAAAGCGATTTTTAAAAACAAACCAGGTGTGTGAGCATCAATGAGTTGGAGAACATCTGCTTTTGTATAATGTGCATTTTATAATGTATAATGTGTTTTAATTGTGTTAAAAGCCCTCCTAGGGACGGACATTGCAAACTAGCCTTGGCTATAAATGTTGTAGTGTTTCACATGTTGATTGTGTACACTTGTCCCTATCAAATAAATCAATCAATAAATAAATAAATAATCAAATTTAGGGCTATACAACATTGAATTGAAAATCGCATTATTGTACACGTGGAGCATTATAAACAGTATTAAAAGGCCTTTATAAGGGAGAGGGGAAGTGCCAAAGCCTAAACTAAAACCAGTGGGAATCATATGTTTGATGTCATTCCGGAGCGATGTTGATGACAGTAGAATGACGTATGTCCAGTGGTTGACGGTGTGTGTCTGTGTCCTGTCCCAGATAACAGCCGTCTGCAGAGAGGCGGCGCTGCTGGCTCTGCAGGAGGACATCAAAGCCCAGAGCGTCCAGCCGCGGCATCTGGAGCAGGCCCTGACCGCCGTGCAGCCCCGCATCCCCCACTCCCTCATCCAGTCCTACATCAGCTATCAGCAGAGCCACAGTGGAGGTCTGGCCTTGTTCTGAGCACAGCAGCAGCAGCAGCAGCAGCAGTAGTGGACGCAGTCTCTCAGTCTGTGCATGTGGAGAAAACACTTTTGAAATAATGTGTTTGATGTGAGCAAAGAACATTCATACTGTGTTATATTGCGTAATATCCTACTTCCTACACGAGAATCACTATTTTTTTTATAAATGCCATTCAAGCCTCCACGACTCTCTGAAACCAGCTCCACTCTCGAACATTCTGTAGTAAATAAATGCTTTATACACATATCTTGTCTCAGGTGTTTGTACGTTATACTGGTGTTATACTGGTGTTATACTCAGGTTATACTCATGTTATACTCACGTTATACTCATGTTATACTCAGGTTATACTCACGTTATACTCCTGTCATACTCATGTTATTAAACAACAGTTGGCTTATGTGTAACTAATCACTTTATTTTGTCAACAAGTGTCCCGTGAGTTGCATGCTGCAGTTGCTGCGGACCATATGGAGACCAGGCTTGGTGCGCGTGCGTGCATGGCGTGTTCCACATGCACGCGCACCCATGCAACAGAGTTAATGACATTCATGGTGAGGCACTTCCACTCTGCGCGGTGCTGCCGCCGGCCATCTGTCGCCGCTGCTCCCGGGACTCGGTTGGCTGCAGTTTCCTCTCGCGTTCTGGTACGTGCACGTGAGTGCGCGTACGTGCACGTCCGTGTTCCGTGCGTGTGTGACCCGCGATGGCACCGGGGGTCACGCAGCTATTGATTTTTCCATTTGAATGGAATAAATTGACTTTGTATTGAACTTCCTTTTCTCATGGATCCGGATGTAGCGCATCCGCGACACCAATCAAAGCAGAGTCAGGACAGAGGAGGGGGCGCTGGGGGAGGGGTCTGTCCCATGGCTGCGGGCTGCTCAGCTCTTAAGGTCGTCCGGATCACGCCTGTGTCTCTGAGTGTATACACCGCTGTTACCACCACAGCTTTTACACTTCTGTGCTCGAATTCATTACATCCAGTTACATTCATCAACATCAGAGACAGTGAGCTGGCATTATAATGGTACTGCAGTCTCCATACACACAAACACACACACATAGATATACATACACAAGCACACACCGAGCCTTAACTGTTAACATGTCATATTCACCATCAGATACAGCCTGACTTACAGCCTCCATAACGTCCAGGGTGCAGTTATGTTTGTGATGAAATACTCTGACATATGAACTTGTGTTTATTTGCCTGATCGTCTCCAATGCGTGTCTGAAATGCAAACATGTTGAAGTACGCATATATAAAAGCCTCAATGCTTCTGTGAGACATATTTCTGTAGTGTCACTCACAAAACACAGCCTCACGTTGCGTCACGAGTGCTGTTTCTCTCTTGTTGTCCTTTTACACTTCCAGCCCCTTGTGTGCAAATGTGCGTCTGCCTCCACCTTAAACTGCCGAACACTTCCCTCTCGGGCTCTTTCCACATCTGCCCAATGAATCAGGAGCGGATGCGATGTATCCTTTTTCAGTGCGGCGTCTGACCAATGGGAGGCGGCCTGTGGAGCAAACACCGAGCAGTGCGCCTCCATTCATACAGTGCTGAAGTGGCTCCCAGAGAAGCAGCCAGAGCCACACGGACACGCACAGCCAACACACCAGCGCGCACACGGGGACGTACCCTCTGGATGTATCTGTATCCGCGGATTCACTGCCACAAGGACCCGGACTGTAGGAGACTTTGCCAACGCGCTTCTGCTCACAATTGTGTATATTTATTCTTGGATTTATCGAAGCCGCGCTGTCCTGGGACACATGCGCGCCTGAACTTCTTCTCCTCCACAAGTGTCCCATGAGCCGCAGAGGAATACAGGAATACTACGGGAGCCGCACTGGATTTACACACGCTATGTTGGAACAGGAGCAGCCGCGGCGCTTGTGAGGACTTTCATGGGCTGTTTATTTGATGGATTCCGCTATATGGATGATTGCATATAGGTACGTATACAGAGCCTGCAGTCTGCCCTGGCGTGTAGTGCTACGGGCTGTGCGTTATAGACGTGCACGTATTGGTCCCCTCGACTTGAAAGGGTTTTGGTGGAAGTGTTTGCGCCACCGGGGACTGGTGCTTTGACCCTAACCCTCGCTTATTAAAGGCAAAAAGCAGTAATTTGATGCGTGCGTCCTCGGGGCTCTCCGTCAGCGACACCCCTCCCCCACAGCGCTTGTTTTCATTCATAATTCTGTCCTCCGTCTGTTCTGATGCCTCTGTCTGCAGAAAGCGCTGTTTATTCTCATTATTCTGAGTCTGAGCGACAGCGTGTGTGCAGACCGCGCTCTACGACTGTGAGCTGGAAACTAGTTGTTTGTCACTTTCCTGTAAGTTCGTGAATAAATAAGAGTTGTGCGCGGGTTGGATGTGATGTGACAGTGCACGCAGAGCCGCCTGCTGTAGCTCCACAGTCAGAAGCCGCACATTTATACACGGGTCTCGCACGGTGCGAATATCTGGTGTTTTTGTACAAAACGCTGCTCTGCCTGTGTTTAAACGGAGGGTTTGTTTTTCGGCGGAGTCTGAATCCGGTCGGAACTCGCTCTGACCTTAGTTCTTCTGCTCCACTTTTGTCCCGTTTCGCTGAAAGCCTTTTGGGGCAGTAATAGAATACTAAGTGAGGCAGCTCATTTAGTTCCTTTGGATCGTGTCCTCATTTCGTCGCCGCGCTGCATTTAAATGTTAACTAGTCATACAAATGGAAATGAGCAGGGGAAGTATTTGTAGGTCCTTGTGAAGTTTAGCTGTGCGTATTGGGAGGAATAAGAAGTCTTGTTAATCGTCAACGTTTTTAATTCCTGAGAGCGCTCTTTACTTCAGAGATCAGTGACATGTTGTCACGCAGAGGACGTAAAGCTCGGTCTGACTAAACTTAAACTAAAGTGCAGTAAACAGCGCAGTAGCGTCCCGTCCCGATAGTTTCTCGGCTCTAAATCCTTGTATCATTTTAGAAAAGAAGAAACTCCTCTGAAGCAGAGGATTAGTGTGTGTCAGCTGTGCCATGTTTAGTCTCTCTCTGACCAAGTCTCTCTGCCTTTGTCTCGCTCCTCGCCCCCCTCTGTAGGTTTTCCGATGCATGCCAAGTCCACGGTGAATGTCGGAAGTGGTGATACCCCCAGATGGAGCTCCAAAGTCAACATGGCCCGGGTGGTTCATTAGTGGTGATCCAGCAGCCTTCTCTCCAGGGCCGCCAGAGGTCGGATTACGAGCGGGAGTTCCAGCATGCTGCCATTCTCTCTCTGGACCAAATCAAGGCCATCCGCTCCAACAACGAGTACACAGAGGGGCCCTCGGTGGTGCGGAGGCCCCCTGCTCCTCGCTTGGTCCCGCGGCCTAAGGACAAGGAGGAGAGGACTCATGAGGTCATCCTCATCAACAATAACTATGAGCACCGGCACCCTGGAGGCCTGGTGCTGACGTCGGGGCCCCGGGCCCCTGGTCTGAGCCGCTCCACCAGCACAGGCAGCGCTGCCAGCTCGGGGAGCACCGGCAGTGCATCCTCAGAGCAGGGACTTTTGGCCTGTTCTCCCCCTTGTCGGCCCCCCAAGAGCCTATCCCACAGAGTGGAGCTGCCCGTCCGGACTCAGCCCAAACCTAAGGCCCTTTTACAGGCCCCCAAATTCCAGCCTCCTCTGGAGGCCCCTCTGAAGCCTCCAGCGAAGGGAAAGTCAGACTTGTTAGTGGCTGTGTCAGCGGGACACCAGTTCATCTGCGAGTGCTGTGGGAAGTGCAAGTGCAGCGAGTGCACGGCTCCTCGGACTCTGCCCTCGTGTCTGGCCTGTAACGGCCAGTGTCTGTGCTCCGCGGAGAGCGCTCTGGAGCACGGCACCTGCATGTGTCTCGTCAAGGGCCTGTTCTACCACTGCTCCAACGACGACGAGGGGGACTCCTGTGCAGACCACCCCTGCTCTCTGTCCCACTCCCACTGCTGCTCGCGCTTCCTGTGCATGGGATTAATGTCGGTACTGTTTCCCTGTTTGTTATGCTATCCTCCGGTGAAGGGCTGCCTGAAAGCCTGCCAGGGCTGCTACGACCGGCTGAGGCGGCCGGGCTGTCGCTGCAAGAACTCCAACACTGTCTACTGCAAACTGGACAGCTGGCACCACAGCCAGGGGAAGCCCTCCTGATGGCCCTGGGACTCCCACAGACTATTACAAACACATGTAAGCACCTCCGCCTTCCCTCTGCACTGTGGAACCTACAGAGCTAACGCAAAAGGAGTAACGAAAACCACTCTTCATTTCTGGATCAGGACCATGTTTTTACAGACCAGTGTTTGCCTTAACTCTCTCTATGTCCGTCATCAGTTCCTCATTAACACTATTTTTATATCGTATATCATGCGTTTTTCTTCTGTTGTGGGCAGCTCCTCTGCTGGTGCTGTCTCTCACCAAATCTGTGAAGGACGATCTGTTTGGGGCGATGATGTAGCTGATCCTGTCTCCATCGCACACAGGTGAATGGATGAATGTTGCTGCCGCGGTAACACTGTGGCTCCATGTTTCATTTAGAAAAGCACATCCAATGTCTAGTATTTCCCTCTCCCATGGATATGTTTCTCTCTCTCCCGTGTCTGGATCTTGTTTTCTGTTTGTGTTCAACTGTTTGCTCAAAATCCCTAAGAGGAATTCTGGCTTCTTTTTTAATTCTTTATTTTATTTTTATTTTTTTTAAGAGAAAATGTCTGTTAAACCATTTTTTTGGTTGTTGTAAAAAAATATTTATTATGTGAAGCTCTATTATTTTATGATATTTATTGCAAGAGACAGTCTTAAATTTACTCATGTCTGAATATAACAATATCAAATACTTACTGAAAAATTAAAGGGTGGCACAAAAGAAAACTATGTTAACTTTAATGCAGAAAATATATTAATTAATGAAAATATAGCCTTGTGTTTGTCGTGATTTGGGTGCGTTTGGTTAGACATACACAGAGTGGTCTGGGGGGGGGGTGGGGTCATGTGGACGATTTGCCCTAAAGCTGCAGGCGTCAACAAAGCCTCTACATTTCCACGCTCACAGGAAGTAACTCTAGCCCCCCTTTATCCGCCCCTCTCCCCACTTTAGCGCTGCCAACGAGTCACCGCCAAACTATGCACTGTAGTTTATTCCCCCGGCTTTAAACAGAGCGAGATCAGGATGTTCCCGAGCTCCCAAATGGTCTCCACATGAGCGGGGCGCACGGGGGCAGCTGCGGCTACGGCTTTTTAAAAAACTTGTTTTGAAAAAGTGCAGAGAAAAAAAAGATTCAAAAGTCATTGTGAAGTTTTCTGCGTAAAGATGTCGCGCTCTGAGGAGAACTGGCCAAAGACAAACGCTGCACATTAAAGCTGGGGTACCTAAGTTTTAAACTGCAAAGAAATGGAGGGAACTATGGTAAGGCAAGGCACGTTTATTGGTATAGCACATAAAGAATCACATTAAAAAGAGTGAAGATAAAATATATATATAAACAAATGTTTTAACCCAGATTTGAACATTGTCAGAGAAGAAGCCTGTCTCACATTTTCTGGAAGACTGTTCAAGATTTTAGCTGCATGAATCTGAAATGTTGCCTCTACATTTTTAGTTCTGACTCTGGGCACCAGCAGGAGGCCAGTCCCTGTGCTCCTCAGAGTCCCAGCAGGAGGCCAGTCCCTGTGCTCCTCATAGTCCCAGCAGGAGGCCAGTCCCTGTGCTCCTCAGAGTCCCAGCAGGAGGCCAGTCCCTGTGCTCCTCAGAGTCCCAGCAGAAGGCCAGTCCCTGTGCTCCTCATAGTCCCAGCAGAAGGCCAGTCCCTGTGCTCCTCATAGTCCCAGCAGAAAGGCCAGTCCCTGTGCTCCTCAGAGTCCCAGCAGGAGGCCAGTCCCTGTGCTCCTCAGAGTCCCAGCAGGAGGCCAGTCCCTGTGCTCCTCAGAGTCCCAGCAGGAGGCCAGTCCCTGTGCTCCTCAGAGTCCGAGTCCATAGAGAGCCAGACCCAGATCTGCTTCACAGTCTATTCTCTTTATCCAAATGTAATAACATCCATATCACTGGTTCCTTGCTCTCAAAGCAGTTTGGTTTTATCAGTAGTTTCTTCCAGTCCTGTAGTAAGTTTTGTCTTTCACAGTTTAAGATCAGTTTAAAAAAAAAGAGAGGACTGGTCTCTGTTGGGACCGAGAATAGCCACAGCACGACTGCAATCCAGTATCAACAAACAGAACAAACAAACAGACCTCACTCAGCTCAAAGGGACAAATGGTGACTCAAAGGGCTCTCAGCAGAAGAAGATTTCTGGGATGAAGATGGAGACATGCTGTGCTCTGACTTGTTTACAGACTCGTACTTTCTGTTAGAATGAACTACTGTCTATGTATTATATATAAGATTGGTTTTCAGATTCTCGATGCTGAAACTGCTGCAGTGACGGCTTTTGGAAGAAGTGCACCTTTACGCACAAAACTTATCTTGTCTGATGGAGTTTAGATTTCCTAAAGTCAGGATATCTAACTTTTTTCATTTAAAAGTTGCTCTAAAGCTGTGAAAATAGAACACACAAATGTCATTGTTCTCCTACTGTTGGATTGGATTCAGTAGAAATGATCTTTGTGTATAACTTCAATCAGCACTTCAAACCTGTGCATGTAGCATTTAGCATGTAGCGTTTAGCATGTAGCGTACACTAGAATTAAGCTAACATTGAAATAGTTCTTTGTGAAAGTTTGTTTGCTATAGGAGTAAAAAACAAGACCAGCAGAAGTGAAACTTGGGCCACTTTTAAAGAGTGAAACGTGGGCCACCTTTAAAGAGTAAAACTTGGGCCACTTTTAAAGAGTAAAACTTGGGCCACTTTTAAAGAGTGAAACGTGGGCCACTTTTAAAGAGTGAAACTTGGGCCACCTTTAAAGAGTGAAACTTGGGCCACCTTTAAAGAGTAAAACTTGGGCCACTTTTAAAGAGTGAAACTTGGGCCACCTTTAAAAAGTGAAACTTGGGCCACTTTTAAAGAGTGAAACGTGGGCCACCTTTAAAGAGTGAAACTTGGGCCACCTTTAAAGAGTGAAACTTGGGCCACTTTTAAAGAGTGAAAGGTGGGCCACCTTTAAAAAGTAAAACTTGGGCCACTTTTAAAGAGTAAAACTTGGGCCACTTTTAAAGAGTGAAACGTGGGCCACTTTTAAAGAGTGAAACTTGGGCCACCTTTAAAGAGTGAAACTTGGGTCACCTTTAAAGAGTAAAACTTGGGCCACTTTTAAAGAGTGAAACTTGGGCCACCTTTAAAAAGTGAAACTTGGGCCACTTTTAAAGAGTGAAACGTGGGCCACTTTTAAAGAGTGAAACTTGGGCCACCTTTAAAGAGTGAAACTTGGGTCACCTTTAAAGAGTAAAACTTGGGCCACTTTTAAAGAGTGAAACTTGGGCCACCTTTAAAAAGTGAAACTTGGGCCACTTTTAAAGAGTGAAACGTGGGCCACCTTTAAAGAGTGAAACTTGGGCCACCTTTAAAGAGTGAAACTTGGGCCACCTTTAAAGAGTGAAACTTGGGCCACTTTTAAAGAGTGAAACTTGGGCCACCTTTAAAGAGTGAAACTTGGGCCACTTTTAAAGAGTGAAACGTGGGCCACCTTTAAAGAGTGAAACTTGGGCCACGTTTAAAGAGTGAAACTTGGGCCACCTTTAAAGAGTGAAACTTGGGCCACTTTTAAAGAGTGAAACTTGGGCCACTTTTAAAGAGTGAAGCTTGGGCCACTTTTAAAGAGTGAAGCTTGGGCCACCTTTAAAGAGTGAAACTTGGGCCACTTTTAAGGAGTGAAACGTGGGCCACTTTTAAAGAGTGAAACTTGGGCCACCTGTTCAAAAATAATAAACGCTGAAGGCTTTGTTTTTCCTGCTCTGAAGCCAAACCGCTCCATGGACCTGCTCTGACCCACATTCTCCATTTGGTCGCCTCTGTTTTGTCACTAACTTTATCACACAGGACGTCCCCTGACCCCACACGGCTCACCCCCCCTCATCCCTCCCCCTCCCCCCAGGGGCCCCCAGCCGTATGACATCATCTGTTTGGAAGTTGGCGTTTCTGCGACAGTTGGAGAAACAGAAACTAGGGCTGCGTAACTTATTAATCAACTGGACTTGCATTTGTAGTGCACTGGCAAAAATCCCATGAAAAAAAGATAAGAAATTCTAGTATAAAAACATACATTTCAAGTATTATTTATTTATGAAAGAAAATTGAGAAATGTTTTCTTAAAATACAGCATAAGAAACTAAACAAGAAAAGACTCACTGCTCAGACTTTTTCTCTAATAAGATTATGAAGTATTATTTTCTTAAAACTAGTAAAATATATGAATATATACTTTATATGGCAAACTACATTCAAGCTAAAATATTGACCATTGGCAAAGCTGCAGCGTTTGGCATGAAGAGAAAACAATGATGAAACTGCCAGAACTCTATTCAACTCTAAAGTATTATACAAATAATTGTATTCAAATAACATTTTTAATCTGTGAGAAACCTTTTTTTACAGACAGCATCAGTGGGGGTAGATAAAAACACAGAAACACAAGATCTGAATATAGACACAGTAAAAGAGCAGAAATGCCATATAAAATAAATAAAACGGGGCTTTAAACCAGCTGTTTAAAGGCGGATTGGGGACACTTGTAAATATTAAAAATCCTTTTATTGTCATTATTAAGGTTTTTACCTTTACTCAGGTTTAATATGTGCTAAAACTCAGCAATAACAGTTTGTTGAAAGGCTGTATGGTCAAGGTTAAGATTTATCCCCGTTGGGCAATTGGTCCTCTGCATTTGACCCTGATGCCACCACAGCGTCTGTCAGGAGCAGTGGTCGCCGTGGTAACAGCGCCCGGGAACCATCTCCAGATGTTGAGCCGGAGGATTTTACCTATTGTACATGTTTTTAGTGGTAGGGGAAACCGGAGCACCTGGAGGAAAATTGAGCACCTGGAGGAAACTGGAGCACCTGGAGGAAACCGGAGCACCTAGAGGAAACCGTAGCACCTAGAGGAAACCGAAGCACCTGGAGTAAACCTACACAGACACGGGGAGAACAGGCAAACTCTACTCAGAAAGACACTGTTCCGACTGGGTCCTTAACCCTAATCGCTAACAGTAATCAGTATCTGGCTTTAGTA